AGAATAAAGAGCTTGCTGGGAATCGCCTTAATGAATTGGAGGAACTACGTCAGGATCTTGAGGAAGTAACAACACAAAATGAAAAGCTCAAGGTGAGACATCTGTAGCTATGTGAGGATGAAGGTGTTCTGAGGTGCCCTCAGCCTTGCAGTGCTGTATCTGCAGGAAAGCTCATTAGCAGTGCCTGTTCTGAGCCTGCTCTTTAGCTGTGTTACACTTTGCTCCAGGTAAAATTCAGCGGATCCATGGCTCTATTTGTTGTTCAGCGTGTTGGTGACACCGTGTGGCCACCGTTGGAAATTGTAATGGTTTCCTGCCCGTGCCCCATTCTGATCTTTCAGTCTGTTTTGACTATGTCTGGTTAAAACTGTTTTCACCTCTTTACAAGTAGTGATCGCTCTTCCACCTTGCCCACGGCCTGTGCAAGTGGAGCCAGGGAACAGAAACAATCAGGGAACTTATGTGGGGAGAGAAGCTCTTGAAAGAGTCAGTGAATTTGTCTTTCCCAGTGTGGGGGATGGATAGGTAGGAAACAGCCTATGAGTTTGTGAAGTTTTAAAGGTGGTGATGTTTTAAATGCAAGAAGCTGTGACTCTGTGGTAGAGAAGTGTATGATGGAGAGAGTAATCCAAATGTCATCTTAGTGGTCAGTTCCAGCTATAAGTAATGTCTGTCTGGAGAACCTAAATTTCAGAGATGTGTTGGTGGAAACTGTCTTGAGGCAGCTCTGAATTCTGTTTATCCATATGAGTTTGTTTAGAGAGAAACGTTCTTTAGCTTGCAACTTTTTCCCCCTAATTACTTCTAAGCTGAATACATGTATATATGTGTATGTTCTTCGCCGCTAGTCACAACTGCTAACTTTTTTCTAGGAATTCAGTTCTGTACCTCTGGGGATTTTTTTCTTTTCTCTTGCTGTCAGTCATTATGTCTTACTGGAAGAAGGCTAACAACGCCTACTTGCATGTGCATTTTCTTTGTTCTCTCATATTTTTTTATGTGTCTGTCTTTATTGATCTGGGTGATTACAATTTTTTATGTTTTCCAAGTTCATATTTTTGAGAGAAACTGTTTCAGGACCCAAGAGTCAAAAACTTGCATGATGTGGTTGTGCAAGAGAAGCAGCCTAGTGCATGCAGAGACCACAGAGACTTTTTAAAATCGGTACTGAAGCATATCACTTGGACCTACTTCACAGCAGTGCTGTTGAAGTTCTACTTTTGTCTTTGCTTGTGGCAGCATGAGTCACTGTTCTCCTGTCTTGAGACAGAGACCAAAGGCAAGGGGATAATATTCCTTTTTGTGGCCTTTTCTTGTGTCACAACTAGGTTGAGCTGCGACGAGCAGTGGAAGAGGCTGTGAAGGAGACCCCGGAATATCGCTGCATGCAGTCCCAGTTTTCTGTTTTGTATAACGAGAGTCTCCAGCTGAAGGTGCACCTTGACGAGGCCCGCACACTGCTCCACAGCACCCGTGCCACACACCAGCGCCAGGTTGAACTGATTGAGGTAACACCTCTGCTTCGTCAGCCTGGGAACTTTGTCATGCCACTGATCGTCACTGCTGGATCTGTGTGCCTCTGCGGGTGCTCAGGAAATTTATGTTTCTGGCAATAATTCAGGCTCATGAGGTACCTTATATTGATGAGGTGAGAGATACTCAAGGTTCAAAGCACCAAGTTCTGCTTCCTTTTTGTTCCTCAGAGGGATGAGGTCAGCCTTCACAAGAAGCTACGCACTGAGGTGATTCAGCTGGAGGACACCCTGGCACAAGTCCGCAAAGAATATGAAATGTTGAGGATAGAGTTTGAACAGACACTTGCTGCCAATGAGCAAGCAGGTATGTTGTTGTGCTGTGCCTAAAGACAAACACCACCTGCCCACCAATGCCCATTAGGGGCTGCAGTGCACTAGAACACCTGGCTTGATTCTTTGTTACTGTTAAATACTTTTTCTGGCAGATTTCTTCATCACAAAAAACAAAGCGCTTCACCTGTTTTATTGGGAGGCCAATTCCATGTTGTCTGACTACCTTCTCGATGCTGCATAATAGATAGACTTTGCTAACATTTTGGTTTATGACAGGATATTTTACATTATTAAAAATTACTTGTGGGGGGAGGATTCATTTCCAAGTAAGGATAAGCTAGATAGCAAAGCAGTAATTCTTAAGTTTTATCAGAGGAAATAAATTACTTCTGAAGTAGCATTTAAATCAGATTTCTATTGTAACATGACAGGTTTCCCATGGGATCATGGGTATAAAAATAATGTTAAGTGGGAACTTAGGACTGTGAATTTGCAAGGATTTACGGTTGCGTATAAAACTGGCGTGACTTTTTTTCTGCAGGTATTGTCTGCTGCTCTGTTGTGTTGCAGAATGATAACAATCTTATTTTGTCCTTTGCCATTGTCACCTTGTTTTCCATTTTCGTGAAAGTCTCCAAGAAGGTGGACAAAAGTGGGGTTTGTTACAGAGGTATTTCTGTTTTTGCAGGCCCAATTAATCGGGAGATGCGTCACCTCATCAGCAGCCTCCAGAATCACAACCACCAGCTGAAGGGAGAGGTGTTGAGATACAAGCGCAAACTGAGAGAGGCCCAATCTGACCTGAGCAAGGTAACACAGCAGGAATGCCAGAAAAGAGGGGAAAGTGCTTAGGAGAAGGGGGAGCGCTGTCACCCTTGCCAGCAATATCAGCCTTTCTGATACACTGTTCAGGATGCAGTGAAATTTTCTGTGGAGCTCTGCACTTCGCTGCTGCCTTTGACCAAATGAATGCTCTTCCTTCGTAGCTATGTTGTGTTCCATGAAAAGAGGCATGGAAGCATAGGTCTGGGAAGACAAAGGAGAAGGGGGTAAAGAAGACTCCTGGCTAAGAACTTTAACATTTGTTTTCTTGGTCATCTCTCTTGCTGTTCCATGCCAGATCCGCTCTCGCAGTGGCAGCGCTCTCCTCCAGACCCAGTCCAGCACTGAAGACACAAAGGAGGAACCTGCAGAGGTCAAGCAGGAGCCTGATGATCCTTCTGCCCAAGTGTCTGTTCCCAAGGCTGCTTCTGAAGATGTTCATGAAATGAAGGCCAGACGAGACGAAGAGGAACGGGAGCGGGAGAGACGAGAAAGGGAGAGGGAACGAGAGAAGGAGAAAGAGAGAGAACGAGAAAAAGAGAAAGAGAAGGAAAAGGAACGAGAGCGGGAAAAGCAGAAGCAGAAGGAATCAGAGAAGGAGAGATAATTGAAAGAGAAGAAAGGGAAGCATGAAGAGGGAAGAAAGAAGGAGGCTGAAGTGGTCAAGCAGCTGAAGGCTGAGCTCAAGTAAGAGTTGTTGTCTCTCCTTTTCCTGTGGGAGCAGTGCCCAAGCCTGGGGTGTTTGCATGTTCTTGTTGTTACGGGATCGGCATCATTGAAGTTTGGAGCCAAGAGAGTCTCTTGACACCCTCTGTATCTGATTGTGATGTGGTCAATGTAGAAGTGTTTTTCCTACAATAGCCTAGAACATGTATTGCTAAACCAGATACTTCACGGTATCAGAAGTGTAGGACAATTAATGTTTATTTGTTGCTGTCATAACAATAGCATAGAAATTCTACTGTGAGTGTTCCCACTCCTTGATGGTTCCCAAAGCAGAGGTGGATAGGTTGTAGCTTATTGTTAGGACACATATTTCATCTCCACCTCACTTAATGCCTTTCAACCTATGTGCCTGAATATGTTTCTTTTCCAGTCTGTACTCAACTGCTGTTTTATGTTACCAGCATAAGATGAGCAAAGGATGACTCCATATCCATGTGGGCGATGGAAAGAATATTGCCAGGCTCTCAGGCTGGCTGTGTAACAGTGTGGCTTTGCTGCTGTGTTCTCACAGTGGTCTGTCTCCCTTTCTCCAGGAAGGCCCAGGAGAGCCAGAAGGAGATGAAACTGTTGCTAGATATGTACCGATCAGCCCCCAAAGAGCAGAGGGACAAAGTGCAGCTGATGGCAGCTGAGAAGAAGGCAAAAGCTGAGGTATTTCTAGTTATTTTTCCGTTTTTATTTTTGCTTAAACTTCTTTTCAGATACTCTGCAGCAGGACTGTGTTGTTTCTCTCCTCAGATCTGAAGATTGTTTTTCTTCTCAGCTTTGTCACTTAGGGATTGGAATGGTCTGGAATAAACAGGCTGGTTGCTAGTGCAGGCACACACACACACAACAATCTCTAGGTTCATAAGTACTGACCCATTTGCAGATCCCTTAAGTACCAGCATGTCCCTCTGTTTGGGACCCCTGTGGTTCCAAGCCCTTCTTACCTTCTTCACAAGCAGGTCTCACCTGTAGGCAGCACTTACTCTGTGTAGCCCACATACATGGGGTAAAGAGTTAGGTTACGTGGGGATACTTAAGAAAATGTGTAATAAAAAGAAGATAGAACAGGACAGGCTGTGATGATCATGTGCAAGGCTGAGCCAGACAAATGTGTACTGACTGCCCATATTTTCCATGGGACTGGCCCCTTTTATACCCTTCTCTGTCTAACCCCAGTTTATTCATCCTTGATCTCCATTTCCCTGCATCTTCTGGATTTGAACAGCTCTTGATTTCCACAGCCCTCCCAGTTCAGGAACCATTCCTGTTTTACAGTGTCATCAGTTACAAAGTCCAGGTTGATCTTCCTGTGGTTTCTTGGAATCCTATCAGCTGTTGTGACTGGAGTGGTTTTCTTCCTCTCTTTGTCTCTGTGTTTATGTTGTCAGGTTTGTATCTCTGTATATTTTGTTTCTAATTTTGTCCCCACACTCAGATAACCTTGATGGAATAAACATTTTCACACTCTGATGTGCTTTCATTATTTAGTGTGACTGACCAGGTTTCATTCTCATCACTGCCTCCCTTACCATTTGTCTGCCAGGTTTGTGTCTCTGTATGTTTTATTTTACCACCTCCTTTTCTTATGATCTCCTTCTTGTATGGAAAAAGGTTCTTGACCAGATGCCCTTAAATGAGCAGTTGCTCTCTGACCACATATCCATTCATGTTCTATTGCAGGAGACTGATGTTCCTACTCTGATAAAAGATGCTGTGAAATTTTCAAAGGTGTGGAAGTCAAGATCTTGGGCTTACAGCCCATCTCAGTGGCACATCTGCCTGAGATGTCAGTACTCTGTCAAAATGACATGGTTTTTTTTTGGTTTTTTTTTTGCCATGCTTTGAAGGCAGTCCTGAATGTTTCAGAGAATTTTGGGGAAAATAGGCTCTTAACAAGGCTCAGGGCACATTCTAATATTTTCTGCCATTTCTGCTTGGTTCTTGTAGCTTGAAGAACTGCGGCAGAGGGTGAAAGAATTGGAAGAAAAAGAACGAAAGGAGAGTAAAAAGATGGCTGATGAGGATGCCCTCCGCAAGATCCGAGCAGTGGAGGAACAGATTGAATATTTACAGAAGAAACTTGCTATGGCTAAGCAGGTGAGAAGTTTCTGATGAGTTCTCTTTTGTCTGGAAGAAGCTGCCTTCAGCTTCTTAACTGTGAAGAAGCTGCCTTCAGGTTACCTCCAGGAAGAGAGAAGGAATTTATATCTGGATGGGCCAGAGATGGGAGTTTGGTCCTTGTTTACCAAAACGAAAGAAAACAAGCAGAAGAATCACCAACAAATTAACTCATTCAACCCTCAGCTCTGGGGTATTACAGGCAGGCCATGGTGGGAAATGTTTAATAACAATTAACATGAAATAAACAATTAAAAATGTGGCCTTGTTGAAGCACACAGAGGAGAATTGGCTTTATCAGCCATTAGGGGAAGAGATTACAATTTCTTTTTAAGAGTTACTATCTCCTCGGTTCATCTAGTGAATATGTTTGCATAGAACTAATACATACCTTCTCCTAAAAAGGGCTTAATGCAATGAAAGAGCAGGACCACCTCAGCAGGGTAAGAGGGAAGCCAATGAATTGATGTGTATGTTTTTAGAATTCAGATTCTTACAGAACAGACCTGCTCTTGTCAATACCTTGTCAATGCTGAAGTGTCCAAAGTGAGTTTAAGGGGCTTGGCAGCCTGTTAGTTGGAAACTGTCAAGCTGTCCACATGTAGAGTTTTTGGCCTGCTGTATCTGACAGCTGTTCAGCTGCTGGGAATTGGGAGTTGGTTTCTTCCCAGCTCTGGCAATGACTGTGTCATAACTGATTCTGCCAGACAAGCAACAGGTGACTATCTTTTCTCTGCACCTTCAAATCCAGAGTATCTCTGCTGTGGCACAGACTTGTAGGGAGTACGTGGTTGTTGGGATGATGGTGTTCCCTGACACCAAGAATCTTCCTTCATCTTCACTAGGCTTGGTGTCTCTGAATATAATGTTCAGGCTCACTGTAGGGGGTCCAGGGCACAGTTTGGCCAGAGCCTGTGATTCTTTTGCAGGAGGAGGAGGCCCTGCTGTCAGAAATGGATGTGACAGGCCAAGCCTTTGAAGACATGCAAGAACAGAACATCCACCTGATGCAGCAGCTGAGGGAGAAGGATGATGCCAACTTTAAGCTGATGTCAGAACGTATCAAGTCCAACCAGATCCATAAGCTGCTGAAAGAGGAAAAGGAGGAGATGGCAGACCAGGTTCTGACACTGAAAACACAGGTAGTAATGAAAAACAAGAGAGGACAAGAGAGCTGGTGGAGAAGGTGGAAGTGTTGTGGGTTATCTGTTTTAGGCAGCTGCACACAGGCGTTTGCTCACTCTGCCACTGAGGGAAAGGGGAAAGAATCAGAAAGGACAAAATGAGAAAACAGGCGAGATGAAATAAAAGGAGTTTAACAGTTAAAGCAAAGATGTCCATACAAGCAAAACAAAAAATTAATTAATTGATTACTTCCTGTGGCAGGCAGGAGTTTGAGCCATCTCCAGGAAGGCAGGGCTTCATCATGTCTTATTATTATTTAGTAAACACTGCAGCTCTGAACATCCTCCCATTTCCTCCTTTTCCCCAGCTGTTACTGCTGAGCACAGCATTGTAGGGTACAGAACACCCCTTGGGTCAGCTGGATCAGCTGTCCTGGTTGTGTAGCATCCCAGCTTCTTGGGCACCCTCAGCCAACCTGCTGGTGAGCAGCGGGAGACACAGAAGGTC